AATGCTACTTTTACTTCTCCAAGTTTTTTATCCTATGTATTTATTTGCAAGCTTGGAAGTTCTCTGGTGTGAAATTCAAAATTTGCCTAGTGCACAGAGAGCAAGAAGAGACCAGAGAAAGAGGCTGAATACACCAGATTGGCATCAGGTAGTGGAGATTTTGATAAGCAAGGGAACTTATAGACAGCCTTATCTTGGGCAATAGGCAAGGCAAGTAGATCTCTGATTCTACACAGCTCGCCCAATCTTTAAAGTTTATGAGAGGTTGTCTCTGTACAGTCCAGGTGGTCTCCATAAGACATTACTCTCAAAGCCAAATCCTTGACACAGCTGCCAGTGTGTAGCTGGGATCTGGAATGCACATTCCAAGGAAGTATGGAGCTTCAGTTGCCGGTCAACCAGTAGTAACATCCCCTCAATAACCAACTCCAATAATATTTCAATCATTCCTTTCCCAACATGTTCTTACTATTCTTGACCCTGACTCTCTTTTCTGGTTTATTGTATTATGTGCATTTTTGTAAGTCACTTCAAATAGACTGCATAAAGAAGGGCATAAATAATAAACAAATGATAGAAAATAGATTAAACCTATACAAATAGACACTACATTTAGTGTAAATGTAGAGCTCTAGTAACAATGAGATTGTATGCCATAGGAGTCCATTTATGTAACAGGCAACACCAACATGTAATGTTATGGGGTATATATAAGGTGTGTGTGTATGATAAAACTACAAAGAAAAACAAGGCAGTGTGAACCATAAAAATCAGAATACTGGTTCCTTCTGGTTAGGGAGAATGAGTAGTGATGGAAGGGGCCCAAAGTAGGCATCTTGTTCTTTATACCTGTGTAATTGTTAAAAGGATATTCCTTTTGTGATAGTTCACAGAGCTGTTTGTGTATGTTTTTATATTCATGTTTCATAATTGACTGGAATTTTTTTTTAGATAATCTAAATCCGAGTAACCCAAAGAGTCTAATGAAAATCAGACCCCAGGCATGTTTACCTTTGGGAAAGAAACTCAAACTACACCGAAGAGCCACAGACCTCCAGGACTGAAACTTTAACCAGTCACTACTCAGCTAACATTTCACCTAATTTGCATACTACTGCGCCAATTGTTACTTAACTGAATTTTAGCTGAATTTGCAAGGCAGACCAGTTAAGAATCATTCCACCTTTTTTTTGTACATATAAACCCTGTTCATCCCTAGCAACTCAGAACTATTCAAGGGCTTCTTGGGTCTTGCTCCCTGGGCTGTGGGTTTAAAGTTTCAAATAGGTGCCTTTTGTTTGTTTCAGCTCAGCCAGATTTCAGATTCATCGTTAACATAGTCTTTTCTGTACATAAATTATAATCCATGAAAGGGTTAGGATTTTATGTACATATACATATATACATATAAATATATATAATGGCAACCACAAGAAGAAAATAAAAATAAAGGCTTGCAAAATACCAAAATAAGGATTTCTAAAGCTAAAAAAAAAGGAGAGATGTAGAGAGTAAGATGGGGCTTATTACTAAAAGGAACTCTGACCAAATTCTGAACATTAAGAATGTTGGAGGGATGGGCTGGAATGAGGTGGAAATTACAATGTCATGGCACTAACTAAATCAATACAGTCATGAAAATAGAAAGCACAAAAATTATCTTGCAAAATTCAGTAACAAAATCAGTATTTATGGAGAGTCTTCTACATAGCAGGCACTGTTCTATGCACCAGAAACACAACAGTGAAGCAATGAATGAAGCAAATGAGGTCTGTTTTCTCATGAAACTTAACATTCTGTAGTAAAGAATGTAAGCAAGAGGGAGGAAGAGAGTAGTGATAAGGAAAGGTAACTTGATAGATAGGAACAAGTATTCCAGAAAAATAGAACAGCCTGTGTAAATACTCAAGTGGGAAAAAGTATGGCATATTTGAAAGACAAATTCTGAAACACACAAGAGGAAAATAGCTTGAGATGATGCGGGCATAGTCAGGGAAAAGAGAGTGCTGTAGATTGTAAGGGTAGAGTGCCTGGATTGGGTATTGTGGATTTTAAGCAGGAGACTGACATGAGTGGTCTACACTTCTAAAAGGTAATTATGACTACTTCCAAAAGGTAATTATGACTACTTCCTAGACACATTTTTTTTAAGGAGGAGATAGGACAATGCTCAGTTGTTATAGAGAGACAGAATGGCAGCTTGGAATGCATTAATAATAGTGACCATGGGAAAAGTAGATGGATTCAGGTTATATTCTAGAAGCAGAGTCAGCAGGATTTGCTGATAGATCAATGTCAGAGGAAGTGATTTCTAGACTGTGACTTCAGTAATGGGTGGTTGGCAGTGAGACACACTAGATAAAAGAAATTGCAAGCCAGTAGGATAATAGTTGCCCCAAGCCCTGTTTGAAGAAAGAATTGAGTCTAGAGCTGAGCTAGACTGAGTTGCTCAACTACTGTTTTCAACAAATAGAATAAATCATGGACTGGTGGGCCCTATCCCAACAATTATCCAAGCAATTTGGCCCACCAACTGACCATGAGGCACCATGCTACACAAAAAGTGTTATACCCTGATTCATGATTATCTCACAGTTTCTTGGAGGGGGAAAGCTAAAAGTCCTGCATGAACAGTTGGAATGTAACCTGTCCACTCATGCCCAGCCCAGAACAAATTATGACCCTGGTCTCCTCTACCCTGCCTCTTGTATCTATCTTTTAAACATCTCCCAGTTCCCCTCAAACAGCCTAGCTAATTCTCCTTTACAGCACTAGTTTCCTCATGCCTAGTCCTCTAACAAAGCCTTCCCTGGTTCAACAGAAGTTCTCTGTGAATCCTTTCTCTAGAGGGCAAAGGACCCACTCTTGTGGGTGGGGTCAATAACAGCAGTGCCTTTTACTGAAGTGGGGAAAACTTTTGCTGGTTTGTAGGTACAGGGAATTATATGGTTCGAGGAAATTTAATGGCCAAGTTAAGGTGAATAGAAGAATTTGAATAGAATTTGAATAGAAGAAAGATAACAAGCAGAACTAACGAGGAATAGGCCCAATCTTGTGCACACTAAGGAACACATTAATAATTTTAATATTTTTTCAGCCTATAAGCCTAAGAGACTTAATTAGGGTCAGGAACTGAGGGGTTCAGTATCTTGGCCCATTTCAAATATATTAATAGCACACCAGCATGGCTCAGCATACATTATTGGGTATGATCACCGCGCATAATGAAAAGCACAAGTTGATTAATCACTTTGTAGTAAATTTAGATTTTTTTGGATACAAAATTTCTAATATATTACCCATAGAGTTATAATTGTTAAGTTTTTAAAGACTCTTCCAATGCCCAGTCATAAATACCTAGTCTCACACATCTGGAAACAGATATTTTTTAAAAATTCTTTATTATAAAGGTATACATAGATATTTGTGTTTCTTCAAAACCCAGAAGAATGTATTAATGCAAGTTCTAGAAATGTGTTTCAAATTAGTGATCATTTTGAACACCCCAAAGTAAAAAATAATGTCTATAACTGCTTAGTAAAAAAAAAAAAAAAAACCTTTAAAAAGAGAACTATTCCTATTATGAAAATAAAGAATGCTAGTTATCCATAGGCACAAATAACACCAAAACTAACTCCCATTAGGTTTGGTGTTCATACATGACTAGAAATCTACATCTGAGTTTAGAAATTGGAATACAGCAAAATCAGACTTGATTCCTTTTTTATGATTACTAATTTTATACTTAATAAAGATTGAAGAGCTTTTTAAAAGGTGGCCCATTACACAACAGTACTGCTCACCTCTTACCTCTGATATTTGAGTGACCTCTTAAGAGTTAAAAACTCTTTAGATCACCAACCTTTACTTGCTTCTTCACCAAATGGCTCACACATGTACACATCTTGCCCAAATACAACATTATTTCAGATGTTCATAGCCAGAAAAAAATATTCAAAACAGGTGTCCTGGTAGCATTACTTCTAAAACATTTATAGAAATTATGTCACTCTCAGACCTTTTACCATCCAAACTGTGGTAGACAGAGGAAGTGAAGGGAAGAGTCCTCATGAAAATGCATACGTTGTGCAAAATGAAAAATGAGGTAAGAATTATATAAAATAAAATATTAAAAAAAAAGAGTTGAGTCAATATACTCTAGGCCTTCTCCTTCTTTTAATTCTTTCAGTCTATTAATCACTGGCTTTTCATTTACCTGTTTTAAATGCTTTTCAGGAAAACTTATGTCTACCATGTTCAAAAGTGTTTGTTGAAAGAAAATATGCTTAATCAAAACTCTAAACTTTCTATGAGAAAATATTAAATTATTGTGACACTAAAGTTAACTGACAGTATCCATCTGGGGCCAAAATGGGAACCACTTTTTGCAAGCAGTGCGCTCCACTGATGGAGATGAAAGAGAGATTATGAGAATAACTGATGACCACGTGCTCAGGAAACCAGTGCTGAAAGCAAGTTGAGTAATGATGAAATATTTAATAAGATGAGGGCAAAGGATGTGACAATTAGACTATAAAAGCCCTGGCACAACAATGTCACCACAATGAAAGGTTTGCATTTTGTCATCCAAACAATATTACATAAACCAAGCAAATATCAATATCAGAAATGAGTTCATTGTGGGAATGTAGAAGTCTGGCCACATTCCTACTGCTGTGGGGCAAGCATCACCTCTGGAAGCTGTGAAACAGCCACAGCAGCTACTGCAGCTCCCCAACATAAGTGCGGCAGTTCCATTTAATATTCTTGTCTAGTGAAACAGCAAAGATCCTTCATGCCTATTTTTAAATGCACATTTTTAATATTCACTATAATGCTACTCTTTAACAAACTCTTTACTCCCTGCCTCTCTGATGAAGCTTCCCGTGGTCTTTAAAAGGATTGTTAACCCAAGAATGGATCACACTCTTTCTGCATGAGCAAGTTGAGAGACACTCCATTAAGCCTTCCAGTATTTAATAGAAAGAGTCATCTCTCACCTCTGAGGAGATGAGCCAGCTGCTCAGTGATGAGTTCAGGAGCCTCCTGGAGAATCTCTTTTACCACGAGGGAGGAGGAAGACTCTCGGAACTCAAGAGCACCATCACTCTGCTCAACTGGATTAATGACCTTGACAACTGCTGATTCTAAAGTTTTGTCCTCACTGTAAAGCAAATGGAGGAAAAGAAGAGAAAGAGGTAAGGTGTGTTTTCTTATTCTTTGGAATTATTTAATCTATGCTCCCACACAAATGGCTTCCTCTCAAAAAATATGAGTAATCGCACATGACTCACAAGAATACAACCTTATTTTGTGTGTTTTTCATATTTTTTTCCAACTAACTACCTCTATAAGAGTTTTAGAACAACTTCATATTTTAGCACTTCTATGATTTTGCTATTGGAAAATATTAACAGTGGTAGTACTAATAATAATAATGGTAATAATAATGGCTACATTTATTGAATATCTAGTCTAGACAGACACTACTATAAATATCTTTTTTGTGTTATCATGTTTTATACTATAAAATGACTCTAAGAATGATTTCTATTAAAATTCCTATTTTACAAATGGGGAAATGGAGGCCCAGAGTAATAAGAAAATAAGATAAATAAATGAAATTTTCAATTGTATTTAAAATCTGACAGTATGATTCTAAAACTTGCACATCCAGTCACTCTGCTGGAGAAAATATAGTACTGTGCTTTACTTCTACCATCATTATTGTATATAAGATAGAGTTGATTTTATCAAAGGTAGGATGACATAAATAAAACTAGCTTTACTCTTATTGACTGACAAAAACAAAAATGAATGACAGCAAAGGAAATAAAGATCTCTATTTTGAAGAGTATTTTGTTTCATAAATAATCTTAAAACCAGAATTTACAACTTCAGTCTCAAAAGCAGATTAAATTTTCAATTTTAACTGATAGCAAAATTCTTCCTAAGATTTTGATTAACACAGACATTTCATAGTTCACTCCTTTGTCTTTATCCATTATCAACTTACATTACTCATTTTGAATAAGTTAAAATATAAATTTAGTTAAGCATGTAATCTTCCTGAGAACTGATAATTTAAACTCAGTCAGATAACCTACCAATAACTCCAGTCAGTTATCAGTACTTGATTAATAAATACTATTCAAAAGAATTTTGTGAAACAAGAGAGGGCCAAGATGTTCCTTGATTCGCTCCCAAGAGGATCATCTAATAGCTAACCAGAGTGACACTACACCCAGAGGAGCTCATAGCTTAGGGTAAAACTGGAACACCCCTTGGACATCTAAGATCAACACATACTGTGACAAACAAGAGGAGACAAAAAGGAAAGGCACACTTCAATTAATAAGACTTGGGTAGACAGAAGTGCCTCGAGGCTGTGGTTCAAGACAGGGGTGACAAATGCAGGGCTGCCAGCTCAGCAGCAACCCTAGGGAAGGGAGGGAGAGTTGAATGGTGTGAGATACACATCCTTGACTGAGGACAAACAGGTGTGGAGGAGCTGGGGTGCTCCCCACAGGCCAAGTATGGTCCCTGGCAAAAAAGCACAAAAGTGGACACGACTACACACAAACTCCCTCACTCCTTACAGCTGTTAATAACCTAATGAAGTGCACTAAGAGTGCAGAGACTATAAGGCCTCAGATCTGTAACTCCACAGCAAAAGGATATCAGCAGTGCTACAAACACATCTGATGGCCTAAAGGTACATGAGAAAATACTATCTATCAATTATTAAGGGGGAAGTGCCAATCAAAACTACAATGAGAAACCACCTCACTCCTGTGAGATGGCCTCTATCTAAAAGACTGGAAATAGGGGCCTCCCCGGTGGCACAGCAGGTTGAGCGCAGCTCTGTGAAGCTGCTCACAGCCTCTGCAGCATGGGTTCAATTCTCTGCTGACATGGTGAGGCAGACCTCTCCTGTTAAGCATGTAATCTTCCTGAGAACTGATAATTTAAACTCAGTCAGATAACCTACCAATAACTCCAGTCAGTTATCAGTACTTGATTAATAAATACTATTCAAAAGAATTTTGTGAAACAAGAGAGGGCCAAGATGTTCCTTGATTCGCTCCCAAGAGGATCATCTAATAGCGCAGCTGCTCCCCTCAGCAGTATTTTCTGTCGTCTGCCTGTTCTGTTCCCCACTCTGTCTCTGGTGAATTCTCTCACTCTCTGGCATTTCTGGCCTGTACCCCAGTTCTTGTATAAATAAATCTTTAAAAAAATAAAAAATAAATAAAAGACTGGAAATAACAAATGTTGGCAAGTATGTGGAAAAAAAGGAACTTTTAGCCATGGTTGATGGGAATGCAATTTGATGCAGCCTTCATAAAAAAAGTTTTGGAGATTCCTCAAAGAAATAAAACTGGAAATACTATATGATCTAGCAGTAACATTGCTAGGTATTTACCCCAATAATATGGAAACTCTACTATGAAAAGATATATAACAGCATTACTCACAATAGCCAAGTCATGGAACCAATCTAAACATCTATCACAAACCAATGGATAAGCAAATAGTGGAATATATGCACAATGGAATAATACTCAGCTATTAAAAAATACAAAATAGTATCTCTTGGGACAAAACAGACAGATTTTGAAGTGCTTATGCTAAGTGAAATAAGACAGAAAGTAAGATAGTTAATGAATGGTTTACTCATTTGTGGAATATAAACAACCAAAATAAACAAGCTGGTAATGCAGAACAAAATTAATTCTTAAACTCTGTGAAAAACATACTGGCTATCAAAGGGGAAGGTGGAGGATCAGAGAATAGGGAAGGGAAGGTAACAGGGCATTGGCACTAGAGCTTTGGTTGATGGTGAATGAAGCATGTACACATATGGGAGGGTGAAGATGTGCTACCAAAATTATATAGATATGTAAATCAGTGGCAAATCTATAAAATCTGAGAAATAAAAAATTAGTTATACAAGTTTTTGTTTTATGTACACTAAGATCAATGTCCGTGTTTGTGTCATCATGATTAGCAAATAGGCAAAGTGTCCAAAAACTCTATTATCTTAAAATTCTATTATTCTATTATCTTACTGAGATATTGAACTGGTATTGCTCCATCAAGTAGCACTAGACAACTTATCAAAAATGCGCTTTGTGTTGGGTTATAAAGTCTTAAGGCTGATACTTTTTCTTATATCTCTTTATATACCTCTAGGGTCCAGCATTTAACAAGTCTTAAGTACATTGAAGGAGACAGGAGACCCAAGTTCTAATCCAAACACTTGTGCTAACTGCCTGTGATACCTTGGGCAAGTTATTTGCAATGATGAATGTCATGTTTCTCAAACATAAAATTTAGAGTTCAAACTACTTTGAAAAATCCATCCTACTCTTATCCTATTAAATGCTATGAATGAATGAGCTAGTGATCAAATGACTTTTATAGCCCATCTGCTTAATTTTCCATTTAATTTCTGAGATTTCTTTTCCCTAAGAATCTTTCAGTTTTCTTCATGTCTCATTTCAATTTTCAGTACACATTTTCAGCATCAATACCTAACACTATAGCATTGCTGTAAGAGTGTTGGGAATGGTTTAAAATTAAAATTTTGCTGTAAGTGAAACCATCTAATATTTTCTTTTTCCTTCTGACTTATTTCACTTATAGGAGGAACATAGGGAAAGCATATAAGGGATCAGGAGAAAAAAAAGACAAAGGTAGCAGGCAAACTATAAATCAGAGATATTCATCAGGGGAGGGAGAGGAATCAAAATGGGAAGGAAGAGCACTAGAGAATATGGTGATGGTTCACAGGTGTCTTGGTGGTGTTAATCTTATGGGGGGGCAACACCTGAGAGGAGAAATTAAATATTGTACAGAAATGAACAATGTAAAAATATATAAATAAAAATGGACAAAAATCAAAAAATTAAAATTTTGGTCAAATTTCATAAGAACTTTGCACTTGAACAGATCATACTTGAAATGAAAAGTAAAAACAAAGGATTGGCATAGCCCAAATTTTGTTGAGGATGAAGAAGAGATATGCCCCTTCCTTTTTTGTTAATGTCCTCTGCCTTTAAAATATCCCCCTAAACCACAAAAATCCTACACAATGTGATACTTTACCCAGAAGAGATTTGTTAAAATAGCCAACCTCCTTCCAGAGCTTCATAGTAAGCCTACCTTGCCAGCACATTGCTGCCAACAAGTGTTATAGATAACTTCCCTTCATCATTTAGCTGATGCAGATTAATTTCATCTCGGAATATGTGGAATGAATCAGAGATATTTAGTTCTTCTAAAATAAATCGTGTTTCAGCGAAGTAGTTGAATTCAGTTCTTGGTATGTTCAGCACAGGCAAACAGAGAACCCCAGGTGGACTGACCTACCAAGAAAAAAGTTGACTGAATCACTGATAATGGCAGGAAGAAAGAAGACAACTACATTGACTCAAGCCTTGAGGGCAAACTGTAAAGGCTATGAAAATCCCTTGGTCTTGCTAACCCTCTTGATATTCACACCACCTGTCCCTGAACCCCATGAGCAGAGCATTATCCACAGGTAAGTGGCCCTGATTTTTTTACCTCTTGTTACTCTGCATGAAAATTGTCATGCTTTACTTGAAATATTTTATGATTCATTTCAACCCTCCCACAATTAAAAATATATATGTACAGGGCCTCCCTGGTGGTGCAAGGGGTTAAGATGTAACCTATGAAGCTGACCGCAGATTCTGCAGCATGAGTTCGATCTCTGGCCAGGGAGAAACCCCACATGGCACAGCAGACCTCTCCTGACTCGCCCACTGCTCCCCTCAGCAGTGTATTTCAGTCAGTCTGCCTGTTCTGTTCCCCACTCTGTCTCTGGTGAATCCTCCCGCACCTCTGGCCTGTACCCCCATTCTTGTATGCATAAATAAATAAATCTTTAAAAAATATATGTACATACTCTACCCTTCAGAGATAACAAATTCACTTGTGTTTATGGAATTGGCAGAACTTTGGAAGAACAGAAGTAGATCAGGGAAGTACTGTGTGACCAGAAAGGTAGATTTGTCCCATCTACATGGGGTGCCTGCCCCTCAGCTCCAAAGAATTGTTTACACGCAAGAAATTCAGGTCCCAGGTAGGCAAATCTATCAGTAATTCAAGAACAACTAGAAATCTACATTTGGGTTGTTATCTATGATATTAACTAATACAACTAATTTTTAATCAAAATATTATATAGGTCACTTATGAGCTGTATTTGGTGCACAAAATACCAGACTGTGACTTCCGTTGATTTCTTATTTTAAAATCATTTATTAAACAAACAACAAACCTTTTATTTTTTTTAAAGCACTGTGGTAATGGAAACAGGAAATGAGCCTAAGTTAGGAACTTCAGATCCACTGTCAAAAAATTATTTCTGGGCCTCCCCTGGTGGCGCAGCGGTTGAGTGCTGGGCTGCAAAGCTGCCCGCAGACTCTGCAGTGCAGGTTTGATCCCCGGCCACCGGCGAGGGTCCCACATGGCCATAGAACTCTCCTGCCGCACCCGCTGCTCCCCTCAGCAGTGTATTTCGTCGGTCTGTCTGTTCTGTTCCCAGCTCTGGCTCTGGTGAATTCTCTCACCCTCCTGTGCATCTAACTATACCCAGTGCTTGTATAAATAAATAAATAAATCTTAAAAAAAAATTTTCTATAGAAAGTTTTAAAATAAAAGTGCTCTTAAAAATTAGTATGAGTGTATATCAACAAGCCCCAAATCACTGAGAAAACAGGGTTTAGAAACATTGAATTTTTACATGAAATAAATGACCCTTATTCTTACATCATCACAGCTTTGTCACAAGCATAATGCTTATTACACAGTTTACATCTTTATCATCCATCTCTCCTTCCCAGCATTAAGAAAGCAGGGTTGGTTTTTTTTTTTTTTCTTTTTTGTAGGTTTTATTCAAATGTATCCCAGTACATAAAACAGTCTGGTAAATAACAGACATTTAATCCATAATTGTAGAATAAAATAAATGGATCACCCACTGCTGTAGTATACAAAACACACAGCCACTCCAACAAAATGGTTTTTCTCCCACATGTCAGGCAAATACTGAGTCAAAATTGTGCAATAATCATTAGCAATTTATACAGGTGAAATTATTTTTCTCAATTGATAGAATGATATGTAATTCCTGACATTGAATGGTAAGGGCAGAAAAACAAATACATGAGTTAAGATCATGTGGTCTACTCTGGCAGGACCTACTCTTAAGTTGCAGTTGGAAGAATTAGGTTGTAGTCCCAACCTTTGCTGTGTGGACTTCAAGAAAGCCATTTTCTCAGCTTTCCCCATCTATAGAATGAGACTTAACTACCCAAGTGAGAAGTATTTAAATGGTGTTATACATAGGAGGCTCAAAAAGTCTGTACTTATCCGCTGTGTTAATACTCTGAGAGGGAGTAGCCAGGTTCTCAGGAAAAGTTAAAATGGGGACACAGACCTAGGCAGGGGTGTGGGGTTCAGTAAACTACAAGAAAGACATAGAAATATAACAAATTCTCAGTATGTGACCCTGCAGCAATTGCATATTTCTCTCCTAGTTCAATGGCAAGCTTTAAAAGAAGTCAAACATCTCTTTATTTTTGTCTATCACAACTGCTTTTCTTAATCCTTTAATTAGATCTCATTTTATTTGTTCAAGACACTGTAGTTGTTGTTAGTGGTGTTCTTATTATCACACAATTTCTTTAAAAGTCCATGTTAATATGAATCTTAAAACCAGTCCACTTCAGTCCATTTCAGTTCTCGAGATAAGTAAAATTTTTTCTTAGGAGCCAAAAAATCCAGTTAATAAGATTAATACTTGATATGCATGGCTCAATACAGGCACATTTATTGCTTCATATCAATTAATCTCCCTTGCAAAGTTCAACAAATTTTAAGAAAATTTGCATTTAAAGTCCTGTGTAGAGATCAGAGTATTTTACCCAGCATTTTCTGTCAGCTGTTTCCTTAACACCATTGTTACCACCCACAGTTCATTCTGGAAGACTGAGTTTCTTGTGAATTTAAAGAGCCATAGATAACTTTGCATTCTCTCAAAACCAAGTATCCAAACCAAACTAAAATAAAGCAAATGACATCTCTGAAAATTAAAAATTGTGTGAAATATGGAACACTTACAATGTACTTTCTTATGTTTTAAGGCGACACATTATCATGCACTAAAACAATTTATGGGATGGGAGTTTTAAATCAATTTTCCACCCCTACAGAGCTGTGATAGATTTCACAGAGCAGAAAGATGCTACTCAAAGAATAAGATCATTAATTGGGAATGACTTTGTATACAAAGTCTGGGCAAAACTATATAGATGTGATAGGTAATACCTCTCTTACCAAAATTTCCAGCCAATATGTTCTGTACTTCATGTGAAGTTCATATAGCTTACTCTGCATGTGTATTTCTAGTCCCAATTTTAAGACTATCCAACAAGAACAATAAAGGAAAATAAGAAATCTGACCATTACTTTTGTTAATTCTCTGAATTCCCATAAAAGTTATCAAGTATTACAAAAAAATTTTATTTTTAATTTGAAAACACTGATCTTACTGAAATAATGTGTTATAAAGAGAGTAACTAGAGTAATGAGGAATAACTAGAACAATGCCTAACATATAGTAGGTGCTCAGTAAGTATTGTTGATTAATGGATTATAATACTTTATTTTCTGCAATAAACCAGAATATGAAAAATTAACAGGTCGCTTGTTTTTCAAAAAATGTTTGCTCAAAATTCAAATATAAAGCATAATATCCCATACCTTGTCTAGAAAGTAAGCATAAGTGAATGCAGAAATGAGAGAATCCAAGTCACATGATTTATGTCCAATCACCACATGGACCTTTTCCAAGCGTTTGCTTCGATTCTGAAACAAATTCAAACAAAACGTCAGAATTTAATCTGCAACAAATCAATACAAAGAAGAGATATTTCCCCTTTTTTAACATATGCCTTAACTATATCTTATACAGCTGCAGACAGTTATCAATTTAGCCTGAAGGATATGAGGACATAAAGTTGCATGTTTAATATTCAAAAATGTTTGTTCAAATTCTAGTAAATTGCCAGGAAGAAAAAGAATGTGATCTTATTAAGATTATATACAACCTAATTAGATAGGAGCTGTATTTCTGAGTCATAATTTTTTAGTAAAAGATCATCTTGTTCTAAGGATTAGTTTCATAGCATTCTATATCATTTCCTTATATTTCTTTCTGAATTTGACAAAGTGACAACATATAATTTTGTAGGAATTCATTTTTTCATGCCACATTTTAGGTAATAGGATCTGTTCTTTCTGCATTATATGCCATAATTTAGCAAATGAAACTTGCTACAATTTTCATCTCCTCAGAGAAAGGGATCTGATTAGTATCATTTCTCTAAAACTATAAGTCAGTTACCATTAAAAAGAGTATATAGCCACCTCTCTGGAAAAGAAGACATAGTTCCTGGTTAACTCAATAGTTAACTTGAAATTTCTTTATAGACGGTTGACCTTTCTTTGAAATGCTGGGTTGGAAATGCCAGAGAACCAATTATTTCCAGAAAATTCCACAGCAAAACTGTCCAATATAGATCACTGTAACCTAAATTAACATCTTTATAGTATATGTGAGATGACACATGTATATAATTTCCCTACTTTTCATTCTTTGCTTGAACTTCTCTTTTTAGGACGGGCTAGGAAATTGTAACACTGCTCAAAAAGGATATATAAAAAAATTAGATCATGACCATTTCAAGAAAAGGCTTACTTACTCCTTCATCTACAGGACAAGGATAAAGCATCATTTAGTAGCTACCGGGTTATTTGCAAATAAATCTATGAATCTAGGGTGTTGTTATTGTTTGTATGGAACTGCCTGGTATCAGAGTCAGAAACAAGTTAATTAACAACGAGACTGTGGGCCACAGGACATCACAAAGCAAATCCTGAAGGGAGCTAGCACTATACAGAATGAAGGCAGGATAAATATCCTGCAAATGAGTCATCCAATACATAATATTATTAAATAAGATAAACATATATTTTTTTAAAATACACCATAAAAATGTTTTTATGTGTGAGTTTGTTTCTACTTTTGATAGTTAACATCTGAATTCAAAGAATAATAATAAAAATTCTAAGTTCATTCATAAATAAAGACACTGAAATTAGTAAAAAACAAATTAAAAGTATGATATAAACTTTTTGAAGATATAAAATTTTTTGAAGATAATTACAACCCCTTCCTCATTACCACCAAATCTGGCTCCCAGTCTTTCTTCTCTCAGCTTTCTTCCCTTATTCTCATAAATGTGCAGCCCAATTCTCACTCTCAAGGACAGACTGATCCCCCTGTGAAAGACTGTCAGATATTCGAGAGGTACCTAAAGAAATTTAGGTAAATGGATTTATACTCCATTACAACACAAACACCCATTAGGCAATCACATTACTGTAGAATGCTGTTCTTCCGAGAAGCTCAAAGATCTAAGTAGACATTACCTCACTTCTCCTCCCTGATCCTGTAAGGCAGACAGTAAAATGATTAACAACACTTTTTTTAGAGGTCAACAGAGTCTGCATGGGACTAAGATTGTTCCCAGAACTCATGACCCAGTACCGTGATTCCTGTCTCCTCTGCCTTGTACCAACCACTCCATAATACCTTAATGACTGCAGTGTCTACAGAGTTAGACAGCACAGAGATCGAGAGAGAAAAGAGTGTAAAATATTCGCTTTAAATGCAATAAGGCTCCAGACATTTATAGCATCAAAATTACCCCAAAGCTAACCTATCTGCCTTTTTTTTTACCATGGCTAAAAATGTTTTTTCTTTTTTTTTTTATTCTTTTTTTAAATTTTGGTTTTTCTAATTTTGTATATTTTTTACATCATTTTTTATTTTTGTACAATGTATGCATTTACATATTGGTTATAGTCCCTGTACTATTCCCACCACCCTTGTTTTGATCCTACTCCCTTCTCCCCGCCCTTCCTCCCACCATAGGGTGTCTCTCGTTTATAGTTGCTTGTTGTTTTGATTTTTATCTAAGGCTAAATAACTCCTAGGTATGGCTCTATGTTCAACACTATATTTGCACACAAAGAAGACAACTGGTGTGTCAACTCATTTCCATACCTAAACCAATTATTATGTAGAAAAAGAAAGGATATCAATAGGGCTGTGAATCCAAAGCATGTTGGACCAATTCTCACAAGTCAGCAATATTCTAAGATTAGGATTTATTTGCTCTACTCCATTTTAAGAGAAAAAAATATTCATCTTACAGGTAGGCTTTAGAATCTCTCTCTCTCTCTCATCATGACTCTCTTCCAGCTTCTCTTCTCCTGACATATCAGGTTCCCTCATTGGCATGACCTCTTTTATGCCACTGGTTCATGTCCACCATCTTCAGTCAATGTGTCAGTCCAGGCACCAACACTCTCTCCCCTATGCCACCCACCTTCATCAAAATATACTATCCAGTGCTGATATTATCAGGGGTCTAATTGCATGTCCACTCACAAGTTCAATAGAGAGTCCATTCTAAAGACTACTCCTAGGTTAATGCATTACTCACAAAGGCAATCAAATTTCATTTTAAAGAGAGCTTTGGGGAGGGTCTCCCTGGTGTCTCAAGGGGTTAAGCACCACACTATGAAGCAATCCGCAGACTCTGCAGCATGAGTTTGATCCCCAGGCTGGCCAGGGAGAAACCCACATGGTAAGGCAGACCTCTCCTGGTTCGCCTGCTGCTCCCCTCAGCAGTGTATTTCAGTCAATCTGCCTGTTCTGTTCCCCACTCTATCTCTGGTGGATCCTCTCACCACCCCTCCACCCTGCACCTCTGGCCTGTACTCCAGTTCTTGTATGCATAAATAGATAAATCTTTGGGGGGAAAAAGAGAGAGAGAGAGAGAGAGAGAGAGAGAGAGCGAGCTTCGGGGTAGTATGCCACAATCCCAAAAGATGACTAGAAACTTTTCATACTGGCTGGTAATGACAGGCTACCCAGAACAGACATCACTATCAGAAAGTACCATTGGTGTCCAATTAAAAGTGTTAGGCTTGGGCCTCCCTAGTGGTGCAGCGGGTTCAGCACAGTGCTGTGAAGCTGTCTACAGGCTCTGCAGCGTGGGTTCAATTCCCGGCTGGCCAGGAAGATTCCCACATGGCATGGCAGACCTCTCCTGTTTTGTCCACTGCTCTCCTCAGCAGTGTATTTTGGCCCTTCTGCCTGTTCTGCTCCCTCCTCTGTCTCTGGTGAATTCTCTCACCCTCCCGTGCCTCTGGCCTATACCCCAGTGCTTGTATAAATAAATAAATCTTTAAAAAAAAATGATAGGCTTGACTTCAAAACAATCTCAGATGTTCCTAAATCTGTGATTCCTACCAATCACCACTGATGAGATATAATTAGAGAGTTAACCATGCTCACATAGACTCCTGCCTGCTTGAAGAAATAAAATGTGAAATTAGTTGTGAAAACTCAACCAATAAGTAAGCTCAAGGAATTGCAGGATTTGGCTCATAAAACTAGAAATCAAGAATCAGGGTATACAGGGAAGTTTCAAGTTGCCCACCAAAAATGACTTTGGAAGTGTAAACAGCACAAGCACAGAGGTCAAGTCAAGGCATAAAACTATGAAAGCTGATGTCAGGTATCTGGGCTGGGATTCTGGGTCTTTGTGGTATCTCTTCACTATGCAGTGATGATCCAGTTGCCAGGGCAGCGATGAAACTGGTTTACAGGGACTTTGGAACACATGATACTCTTTGCACCTCTCATAACATGTCCTTAGGTACCTTCCTAGGTCACATATCCACATATTTATAAACCCACAGATGTTCTGTCTTAATATATTTGTCCCTTGATACATTTCAAATTGGAATCTAAAGTATTCAGAGGCAAATTCATCCAAATAAAACTGACATAGGTACAATTTATCAATTGAACTTGTGACTGTCATTCAACTAATAAAAACCTCTTCGTTCCAGGAATTGTTCTACATGCTAAGGATAGAGTAGCATACCAAAGAGTGAAAATTCCCAGCCCTCATGGTACTGGTACTTAACTTTTTAGTAAAAGAATATATGATGAACCAAATAAATAATCATAATTGAAGGGAGTAGCTGTGATGAGACTCATTGAGAAGATGACATTTGAGTGAAGACCTGAAGTGAAGAAGTGGACCCTAAAGATACCTCACAGGAATATCAAGCACAAGGCCCTCAGTTGAGAGCAATCCCAGCATATTCAACAATTACTGCCTATGCACACATTTTCTCAGAGTGATTTTGTAAACTCCTAGTCAGGAGTAAATAGATCTGCAAAGAAAGTACCCATTCCCTATTATGGACATGAGCAAGCAGGCATTAAGGAAACTCAGAAGACTAGTGCCTAAACTCCATGCTGTACAAGCCCAACATAAAAAAGAATCCTGATAATGCGCAGCAACAGACACTGTATTGCTTTGTCATCCACACACCCAAATGAATGGACAAGATCTCTCCATAATCAATGCATAAAATATATTCAATGTGCCAGTATTCCAGGTCACAACTTTAATATGCTTTCAAAGTGTAATCCCATATACCACTAAATGAGACTGCTTAATGAAGTTTGCTTATGTCCTTTTAAAAGCAAACAAAATGCCTAAGTATTCAGATTCAACTGCCCATTAAAGAAAATTGCACTTGTCAGGCAGAAGCACTTTCAAACACACCCACAGAAAACAGAATTGATCAGAAAGAGGGCTTCCCGAGCCCTGGTGGAGGTGGAGGTCATGCCATCAGTTTTTTCATAATTCCACCCTCTCAGAAACAGAACTGTTCCTCCCTAAAACTTTCCCCATCTAAAGTCCCATAATTAATCT